GCTCGCAAGCCAACGTCAGCCTGGTCAACTTCTGCAACGCACCTAGGACTGCGTTCTCAGCAAATTATTTTTTCCAGTGAAAAAAGCCTTTCTTGCTGGGATTTTCTGAGCACCTTCCAAATCAGGGATTCGGAGGATAATGATTTAGGAACAGCTCCGTTCCCAATTGGAGAATAAGGAGGAACCACAGGAACATGTCCTACCTCAGCTGCAGGCTCTCTGCAATACTGTGGGCTGACCCACCTGAAATTCAAGCACTTGAATATACAGCAGACCAGAACATCTGATCTGTTACTGATGTATGGATTGGTCTGAAAAGGCACCTACCAGAATTTATTGCACCTAACCACCTTTAGACATCCACATCTCTTAACTGCCAGTCCTTTCTTCACTTTGCCTAGCTCTTCAAGACACAGAATTTTTCCTTCTTTCTCTCACTGCTTATGTACACCCCATATAACACACTGGGGCCTCCAGGCAGGGCTACATACACAGACAGTGCATTTTCTGCAAAAAATAACCAAAATACAGTGGCGTTTTCAGCTTACTTGAATAGTTAGGGCCCTCTAGGGATAGACTGGGGTAGAAATCTGACCTTGTAAGAAAAGGAGTCAGTGTGTGGCTGCACAGAAACTGCCGCTGTCGCCAACGGGAGCTGCTGAAGTTGCAGATTTGGACTGTTGCCTCCTTCCATTTTGGTTGATTGGAGTGTTTGCTTTTCAGCCTCTTTGATGCTGGAACTTCTCTTTACAGAAGAGACTTGGACCCTGCTGGAACCACCTTATCTGTAACTTGGTACCGCTTCTTCCCATCCATCCTGTTTTGCTTGGACAAGCAACAGTTAGTTCAGTGAAGCACAAAAAAATTCTCTGTAGCCTGTCTGCTGCTTTTCTTCCCCCACCAGGCTACACTGAGATAGGGTAGGCACCGTAGGCAGAAGTGTAGATAAGCCAATATTTCCAGCAAGTCAGTGGGGCAGCAAGGTTATATTCCTCCAAGGTGATACTAAGGAAAAAAAAATATAGAATTAGGTCAAATGAACTCAATGGTCCAAAACCTGCAATGAAATCAAAAAAGAAGGATAGGCCACAGAAAACTCCCAGGAATCAAACCAACGGCTGCACATGTCAGCAGAGAAAGTAGAATTTAAATGCCTTCTCACAAAGTCTCACACGCAGAAACTCACACAGACCTCGCTTTACAAGAGCTCGCAAACCAGCTTGACCCCAAGGGCGACATATTCAGCTGGCATTTAACGTCAGGCCTTGCTATTTGGAAAGCTCTTATCAAAGAGTCTCTGAAGTCCTCTAAGTGCTGCTTTTAATTTCTCTGCTGCCTGCGTACCTCTGTTGTTTGTTTGGGACGCAGCATTGCATTAGTCATGCATTCCCCACATGCTGGGGATGACGGTGCTGCTCTTCACGCAAACAGAGGTCATTTCAGTGTAATCGCTGTGAGCAGAGTTTGGAGGGTAAATTCCTTGGAGCCAGACTCATTATAGGTGTCTGGAAAGCACCACAGACAGCAAACCAGTCTGAGGCCCCCCCCTTGCTGTGACGGCTCCTTTCCCCAAAGACCTCAAAGAGCGTCAGCGACCCTGAGCAACGGGCACTGGTGGAAAGACCCCTTTGCACAGAGGGGGATGCTGGTGTACAGACATTGCAGGGGTGGGATCCTCGCAAGCGACACGTTCCTGTTGCTTTACTGCCCGAATGGTGCGGGCTGAGCATCCCCTTGACTCAGACCCTGGATAATTGGCCTGCGGTCACAGCCTGGGGTAGCAGGACCCAGCCCGCGCTCAGGCCGTGAACTGCAAGCTCTTCCTTTAACTCACGGGCTGCCCCCAGCGCGGGGGGACGGGGCAGCATGGCAGCCCAGCCGTGAAAGGGCAAAAGCACCCC